GCAGACAGCATTCATAACCACAAGGCCAAAAAGGAAAGGATAAATCGCGGGTTTTGATAAAAAATTCGATACTGGCTTCCTGGGCAAATTGTAAACCATGGGAAAAGGCCGGAAACCTGGCCGAAATTCTAACTCCTTAACGGTTGGTCCAATTGTTCCGAAACCTTCACAGAACAATTTGCCGTGTCCTAACAAGCCATTCTATGTACTTTGTTGTCCAAATTTCCCTTATCTTCATACTTTTTAAGATCCAAACCTGATTGTAAATCTTTTTGAAACAGACTGTAACATTCTGGCGGTGTACAACATCTAAAGCAACCAACGACCGCTGTTTCATCAAGTACAACGAACCCACACAAGACTCTGCTGAAAGTTTCAAAAATGCCATAGCAAGCACGTTGCCAGACATAAACACCTCGCCTGAAGATATTTCCACGCTAGACCAAACCTGGGAGAGATTTGTGTCATCTACCCATGCAGCAGCGGAAAAGGCATTTGGAAGAAAGAAACCACAGAAGAGGATTGCTAGATATACGAGCCCTGCTGTCATTGAGCTATCAACTCAACAAAAAGAAATTCACAGCCGGATACATATGGAAAAAGATCCGAACAAGCGGAAAGAACTAACACAAAGTAGAAACAAGATCCTTCACCGTATCCGAGCATTACTCAGAAACGAAGGTGACTTATATTGGCAGCACAAAGCGGAGGCAGTGGACGCATTACGACCGGATGCAAGATCGTACTTCAATGCCATCAAACAGCTAAAAGCACTTCGAAATCCTGACAAACCTTCCCCAGTACGACTCGCAAATGATAGTGGTGAAAATGTCACAAATGTAAATTGGAATTTGGAGGAATTCAGCAAGTATTTCGCATCAGTGTTTTACCGGAGCGACCAGCCAACGCTTTTCCCGGCACAGCCTAACAGTAAGGCGAAAGACGAACCATTTACCTCTGAAGAGATTAGGAAGGCCATCATGCACCAGAAAATCGGAGGCGCTGTTGGATGTGATGGGATCAGTGCGGCACTGCTACGTACGGCTTCGACTGTCATTACTCCATGGCTGACTACCCTATTCAACTCCATTAAGGAACTCCACTATTGCCCACCTGACCTTAGATGTGGCCTTCTGGTGCCAGTATACAAACGAGAAAAACCTATGGGTGCACCGAAAAGTTACAGACCGGTCATGCTGCTATCAGTTGTTCGCAAGGTGCTGACCCGCATCATCACCATGCGTTCACAACAATCTACCACCTCATATGTACGTGAAAGTCAGGCAGGCTTTACACCCGGACGCTCCACGGCTGACGGAGTTTTCTATACGCGTGTCATGTGCGAACGTGCACTACTCAGTGACTGGAAATACTCTGCCGCACTATTAGACTTCAGCGGAGCATTTAATACCATTGTCCGTGAGAAGGCGTTGGCGCGATTTTCAGACTCTGGAGCTGTCACTGATGTCGTTGCCACTCTGATCTCGGACACGACGGTGAGAGTGAAACTCAGTTCTCATTTAGGCAAAGCGTTTGCTACAAATATCGGAGTAGTGCAGGGGGATCCGCTGTCTCCCATCATGTACAATGTGTATGCTGAGGGAGCCATGCGCCACCTTGATCCTATACTATCGCACTTATCTTTACCAGCACCAACCACCCAATATGCAGACGACACAACAATCCATGACACGGAGAGGCGAGAAGTCGAGGAGATTGTGGAGAAATCAAGTGAAAAATTCAAAGAAGATAACCTAATGTTAAATATTCAGAAAACAAAATATATTACAGTAACTAAAGCCGACTCCTCTTGGCGATCTGTCAAGCTGCTTGGCTCTTTGTTGGGGTCCGCAGAGGATATTCAGGCAAGAATAGGTGCTGCGAATAGAGCGTTCGGCTCCATTTCGTGGAAGCGTCATAAACTGAGCTCCAGACTTTGTATGTTCTCTGCCCTCATTTTGCCTATCCTGTTGTATAACTGCGGACTGTGGGCCCTGACACAGCAACTCAGTAATCGGCTGGACGCATGGCACCGCAGAAAATTGCGGTACCTGCTTGGTGTGGTGTACCCTCACCACATGTCGAATGCCAAGGTGTACGCCTCAACGCGACAAGGCCCAGTCAGCACTACCTGTCGCAGACGTCGGCTGCTCTGGCTGGGCCATGTTGTTCGCGAAGGACGTAACTCAGCGTCCTACCAAGCACTGGAGATGGCAATTAATACCCGGGACATCAAGCGCCCACGTGGCCGACCCCATCTCAGATGGATTGACAATATTAAAAGTGATCTAAAGCACGCCAATATTGATATTTCTGACTGTTTTGAACTGGCTCTAGACAAGAAAGAATGGCTGATGCTTGTGGAAAATGTGCTGCGCTTGCGTAGTTGTTCTTACTGCGATACGTTCTAACAATAATGAGATGCCTTTTGTCGGCTCTTCTGCCTGGATTTCGTTGACAGCTGCGTTAAGCCCATGGATCCTTCCATGAGTGACATGCGAACTGTAACTATTATTATTATTATTAGACTCAATCTCGTAGCATGTGCACGGATTGCTAATGCGTGTGTGTGTATTCAAACTAATGGCTCGCACAATCTCTCTTCAGGTCTCTTAGCCAAGTGTTGAAGTCTATGCCTAGTGCACGAGAGGTTCCACTGCTAGGAACTCATAATGGGGAAATGATAGAAAAGAAAATAATAATAGGACAAAGAGAATAAGTTTCAAGGCACCTTAATATTAATAAACGGAGTCCCACAAACAGTAGTCAGCAGCTCAGCAAATTGCAGTGCGGTGCACAGTAATGCACGACAGTAAGATCGGGCGCCGAAGAACACCTCGCCGAAGAACACCCAGGCTGGAAAACCGGCAAAATTTAAGAACAGTCCAGGCTAGAATTATCAGATTTAAGAACACTTTTAAAATTTGGAACATTCTACATGTATGGGAGGTGAGTACATGTCATGTACAAGTGTAAACAGTAACCTGGTAACTGCTACATGTACAGTCATTCCCATGTACGACACCCACTAGTTTAGAAGTACTACATTGCACTACATGTACATGTACATGTACATGACAAACGTCATGACGTCACTCGACTCGCCGCGCGCGTGTGAATAAGAACGGTCTGGCTAGAATCAAAAATTTAAGAACTTTCCTAGGCTGCGCTCGAGCCCCTGCGTTCTTCGGCGCCCGATCTTACTGTACGTGGACTGGAGCGGACAATGACGACAGCATAGCACTGTCATCCAGATGACTGTGAGCAGCTCCTCGCGATTAGTGCTGACCAAACACTCTCTGCAGAGCGCATTGGTTTCGCAAGCAAAGCCGTACAGCCTACACTACAGCCTACACTACAGCCTACACTACAGCCTACACTACAGCCTTGCACTGCTACCATGGTCACAGGACAAGGCCACGCCACCGGTGAGGCTCTGCATGAAAAGCCGCGAGGCCAAGCTGTCACTGTATCGGCGCGCTCGCCCTCGCTCGCTCGACGCTTTTGTCGATTCTGGCCTGCATAAGTAACAGTTCTCAGCAAGTAAAATTAATAATTATTGGCACTTCAGCATTTTTTGGCCCGAAACAAAAATTAATGTTATGATGAGCAAAGCGCACCACGCATCATTCGTTGTATTAAATGCGTGGTGCTCTGTGCCGGGTATAGGGTAGCTCTATTCGAATCATGATCGAGCACTCTGATAATATTATCTACAGTGCCCGTGGACTCAAATAATTAATTGATGTGGAAAGCCAACGTGATTTTTTGGCTTGCGCGGCTAGAGGAAGCCCTACACGATGCTACTAGTCTACGAAATCCTACAGGTAACTGGTAACACGTCACGTGGGTGACAGTCTTCGAAGCCCTATACTAGTAGTATACTACAGCAGTACCATGACTCCATGACTCATGAGTACATGCCACAAATACGTGTATGCAAAAGTCCATAACCTCTTGTATTGCGTGTAGTTGTTCAGTGCTGGCGACTGATACGACCCCCCTATCGGTATGCTAGCCGCGTTAGCGATTCGTACGAGACGCTAGGTGGTCGGTTCTCAGTTGCCAGTACTGTAGCTTGTATTGGTGCATGGCTTAGCTACATGTCGAAGTTTACGCATATGCTCTGGCATACCCGCGTGAGTAATGAAGAATTTGTTTCGGTAAATCTTTTGACATCTGTGCCTGGGCCAAGTCCCAGCCTCGTAGAACCTAACTGAAGCGCTGCTATAACGCCTTCAAACACCCCCCCCCCTACTTCGAGCAAAAATGCAACGAAATGCTGACTGCTGATTGTTCAAGCTGGCATTTTGGAGCACGTGCGGCGCCCCCATCTACATGTAATCGACGCTTTTCCACACAACTATAAACCCTGATTACCTATAGGGCTTCCTCTAGCCGCGCAAGCCAAAAAATCACGTTGGCTCAACATCAATTAAACATTCGAGTGCACCGGCTCTGTAAATTTTCAGAGTGCTGAATAATGATTCGAATAGAGCTATCTTATACACTGCACAGAGCACCACGCAATACAACGAAACTTGCACAAGTACAAGTAATCCGCGCTCCAGGGGTTATAATAATGATAACAATAATAAAAATCACGAAGGTAAGTTTTAGGTCGCAAGTACCCACGCAAATACACACATCCAGCCAACTGAGGTACTATTAGTTCCTTAGTCCTTTTTATTTATTTTTAAATTATCCTTGGCTGTACATCTGAGTGCAGACCTAATACTTACATGGTCCTCCTTTTTTTAAGTATTATACGCCTACGACCTCGTCTACACGTAACAACTAGGATGACCCAAAGGCAGACCGCCTATCGTGGGGTCCTTCACATTGATGCCCGATTCTAGTGTCATAGCGGAGCGCCCTATAGTTATACCACACGCTGACGACTGTGCTGCCAACCACCAGCCGCAATGTGACGTCACGTAGCGTAGGTACATGTATAAACCCTAAGTTTGCTACATTCTCCAACTAGTTCTCCAGGATCAGTGTCTGTCACCGGTTGGTTTTCTAGCGTCTTCCCTCAAACACCTTGCTTCTCACCAGAGATTGATTATTTGCGTGCCTGAGTAAGTTGCCGTCTTCCAATAGATATCAGAATCAGGTTCTCTCTGTGTAGATCCCTCTAGCACCTTGCTAAGTATCGTCCTTGCAGAAGAGTTGGGATTATTCGATTCTCGGTGTGAAGTCGGCCGCGAGTTGTGAAATTTACTGTAAGTATCTGTTTGTCTGTCTTCCTTCTTTCAAGCTGTTTGTCCTATATCTCTATCTGTACCACTTGTGTAACAGTATAGACTTGATTGATTGGAGAATTCCCCGAATGATGTTCAAACCAGAGGTTATAAAGCAAAAGAAAGGCGAGAACCGCAGGAGTGAGAATAGTAGGAACACAAGGTGTTACCATAAGACAAGCAAGAAGTGTCAAGGTAAAACTATTACACTCTCCCGGACCCATAGGAAGCCCAAGGTTCTATTAGATAACACAATCCAGTTAGGAGATGCAATTGTGGAAAGGGGAATATTAAATAATCACTCATGCACATGCATAACTACATTGAAGTGTAATCCAACTCAACTTCATCACTCTCACAAGGAGATGACGCAAAACTATATCAGTCTATAACATATTATTAACTATCTCAGTAAGAGATGCATATGGCTCAGCCCAGTTAGATCAAGGCTGCTGTCGTTGTGAGGCTAGATAGTTCTGCAGCGGTTTAATATTCCGACCAGACTCATCACAAAGGTTGCCAGCGGGCTCCCACGTAGCTTCGCTGCTGGGGTAACCCTTCCAATGCACCAGGAAGTGTTGCTCACCATTGCGGTGTCGGTGATTCAAAACGGCTTCAACAACATAGCGTGTGTGTCCATCTAGATCTGTGAAGGGCGGAGGCGGGGGTTGGTGTCTTCCAGGAATCGTGTTCTCTTCGTAGCGTTTAAGAGCAGTGACATTAAACACGGGATGGCAGCGAAGTTCACGGGGTAGTTCCAAGCGAAAAGCATTCGCTCCAATCTTAGCCTGGATACGATACGGACCAAACCACTTGGGTTGCAACTTCCGAGAGGGCTGGCCACGGGCTTCCGGGGTCAGTAGAAAGTCTCTGTAGACCAGAACGCTATCACCAACCTTCAAACCACTGGGCGTTCTCGTCTGGTCTGCGTATAGAGCTTGCCTTGCCTGGGCGTCGAGCATTGCATCTCGAGCTATCCTTAGTGCAGCTTCCTGCTCATGAAGCCAATCGACCGAATCACTCCTTTCCCCTCCCGTAAGAATGAATTCGGGCGGGGACTTATGGTCAAACCCATAGTTCAGATAGACCGGTGTATTAGCTACAGATGACTGTTGTGAACTATTTATTGCAAACTCGCAGAGTGGTAGAAGCGAATCCCAATTGTCCTGTCTCAAGTTCACAAATGCTCTTAGAACATCTCCCACTTGCCGGTTAACTCTCTCTGTCAAACCATCCGTTTGAGGGTGGTTAGCAGTGCTGAATGCCAATTTAGTTCCTAGCTGAGAGAATACTTCTTTGAAAAAAGCTGCAGTGAATCGTGGATCGCGATCGGAAACAATGGTCGAGCTCAGCCCGTGCAGACGAAACACGTTTTGAATGTACAGTTGAGCGCTGCCCTTAGCATCAATCTTCGAGTTTGTTGGAACAAGATGTACGCATTTCGTAAGTCGGTCCACAAAGGTGTAAATTGCGTCGAAGCCACGAGAAGTAAGGGGCAATCCAACAATAAAATCCATTGAGATATCCTGCCAAGGACTATTAGGTATTGGAAGTGACTGGAGAAGCCCTGTTCGTGGCTGACCTCCCTTCGTTCGCTGGCAGAGATCACAGGTTTTGACAAATCTCTAGATATCGAGACCCATTCGGGGCCAGTAGAAAAAACGTGCTAGGCGGAAGTACGTTCGATCACGTGGCCAGCCGTTGCACACTCATGGTGTTCTTGAATGAGCTTTAACCGGACACCGCACTGTGGTATGCACAACCGGTTATTGGGGGATGCCTTGAGGTACAAGCGATCAGTGAATTCGTCCCGATAATAGCGATCATGCAAATTATCTCGGAGAGAATGCTTCAATCTTTCTATGATGGGAGTTAGCTCTTTGTCTCTCTGGTAGGCATCTGATATTGTATTGGACACGTCATCATTCATTGCTAAAGCATACTCAATAGCATTCAAACGTGGTACTGCATTCTCCACGAGGTTAATCTCATGGAGATCTGGGCGACGCGAAAGGGGATCTGCAGGGTTCTCTCTGCCGGGTCTGTGACGGACTGTGTAGTCATAGTCAGCTAGGAATTCAACCCATCGCGCCTCTCTCTTTGTAATGCTTGGTTTTGTTTTCAGATAAACTACCGCCATGTTGTCTGTAATGACCTCAAAGTGTTGAAAGAGGTAGATGCGCCAGGTCTTTAGCGCAAACACCACGGCCAATGTTTCTCTTTCTGTAGCTGTATAATTCTGTTCAGCAGCAGACAATTTTCGGCTAGCATAATCCACTGGATGCCAGGCATCTTCCTCTAGTTCTTGGAGAAGAACACATCCCAAGGCGAAATCGCTTGCATCTGTTACCACTCTGAATGGTCGGTTCACATCAGCCAGCCGCAATAGGGGCGCATTCAACAAGGCATGCTTTAGCGATTCAAAGGCATGTTGCCGAGAGCTGTTCCACTCGAATCGTGCATGTTTTCCCGTTATCTCCTCTAAGTTCTTAGAGAGCGATGAGTATTGATCTATGAATCGCCTAAAATAATTCGTAAATCCAAGAAATTGCCTCCCCTCTGTGACGGAAGTCGGAGCGGGCCAGACCTTTACTGCGGCAATCTTGTCTGGGTCAGGGGCGATGTGCAGTCCATCCATGCAATGTCCCAGGAACCGCACACTCTCCACGCCAAATTCACATTTTGACCGTTTGCAAAATAACTGGTTGTCCCGGAGCACGCTCAATACCGACCGGACATGCTGCATATGCTCCGACCACGTTTTGCTGAAGATGGGTATGTCATCTAGGAACACGACTACGAACTCCCTCAGATATGGTTGAAGAATCGTTTTCATCATGGATTGAAATGTTGCCGGTGCATTGGTGAGACCAAATCCCATGACCCTAAATTGGTAGTGCCCAAAGGGAGTGTTAATCGCGGTTTTGGGCACGTCCTCAGCTTGAATGCGAATCTGATTATACCCTGATCGGAGGTCTAGTTTCGTGAAGTACCTAGCGCCCTGTACGGTATCGAATAAATCATCCACATTGGGCAAGCACGCCTTGTTCTTAACAGTTATCTTGTTTAGGTCCCTCCAATCGCAGACCATGCGTAACGAACCATCGGCTTTCTTGACAAAAAACACCGGTGCACCAAAGGGGGACTTACTTGGTTCTACGAAACCCTTTTTCAAGAGTTCTGTGAGCTGTTTCTTCAATTCCTCCATTTCTGGCCTGGGCAGGCGATAGGCAGGTCGCGATGGGGGTGATGAGCCTTCCTCCAGGCGGATTTCGTGGTCTACAGACCTCTCTGGTGGGAGTCTAGCTGGCAGATCATCCGGGAAAAGATCGTCATAGTCACGGAACATGGCCTTGAGATCTGGGTGCTCGTTCTGAGTGGATTTGTCGGGAGGTTCCTTGCCAATGCCGTCTTCTACGCTGACCCACGCCAGAACACCTTCGTCTCCACTCCTAAGAGCATGCCTAGCCTGACGACCAGATATGAACATCGCCTCCACGGGAGCGGTCGGTACGCTTTGACTAGGCGACGCACAAGGCAAACCATTCGAGTTCAACCTGACTTCATTCGTCCGGAAGTTTATGTCTGGATTGTTACGCGTTAACCAAGGTTTCCCCAATATAGCGTCATAGCGATGAAGGGGGAACACCGTGAAGGTTTGGTTATCGCTGAAGTCGCCTACGATAACCTTCAATTCATGGGTCGTCTCCATGGGAAACGAGCTTGATGCTCCATCAGCCAACGTGACATTCAGGTTTTCCGACCCAATTTCGGTTGGTAGGTTAACTCTCCTGGCAAACTGTTCGGCAATGAAATCATGGGTCGAGCCCGAATCTATTAACATAAGCGCGCGACGACCGTTGATTTTGCCTTCTACACGCAGGAGCTCATGTTCCGTTTCCACATTGACGCTGGTAACCTGGGCCTCAATAGTTGGTGTAACATCTCGCTTGAAATTGGCTTCGGAGCATTCAGCATCATCGTCATCATCCTCCACAGCGAGCCTACTGAATCGGTTACGGGTAGAGACGGAGCACACACTACACGAAGGTGATGCCTTTTCTTGCTGCGTCAGTAATCGCGTCGGCCTTACTGACGTCCACCGTTTGGGTGATCTCGATGCTGCGGGCAATTCTGGGCCATATGGCCTGGTCGACGACATGCGAAGCAGCCCCCCTGGGCTCGTAATGTCTCACGTTCCTCGGGGCCTAGTTTTGTTAGCTTTCTGCTAGCCTACCTGATGGTGGTGCGAATCCCGGCGCGGTCGCCAGTGGTGGTCTGCGTTGAAATCGGCTGTCTGAGGCGACCGCTAGCGCTGACTGAACGGCGGCTGACAGTGTAGTGGGGTGTTCCTTCACTACCAAGGTCCGCATGTTACTGTGCAGGCCGTTGACAAATAGCAAGGCTCTGGAGAGTTCGTCAAGTTCCGGCACCTGTAAACTTAGCCGAGAAAACTCCGTTACGTACGATTCAATTGACCCACGCTGTTGGATAGAGAACATATCCAACTGCACTCTTTCCCCGTCATAGTGCGGGCCATACACTCGCGCTAGGGCGCTTTTCAAAGAATGCCAATCCGAAAATTGCTCACCTGCTTCCATGGAAAAAATTAGCCAAAGACGCGCATTCCCAGCGAGGTAGCTAGCCGCAAAGTTAACTTGTCTCTCCGGGTCACCTTGAGGGGAGCATTTCAAGGCTAACTCGACCGTAAATACCCACTCTTTGAACTCGGAAGGGTTGCCATGGAAAACATTCGGTTCTCTGGTAACGCGTTTGACGCTCGGGCTTGTCTGGGAGAGAGAACGCGATCGACACGGGGCTAGATCCGGAGGACTTGAGCTTGATGTAGCAGGTAATTGATGTCGTCCAACTGTAGCAGCCGCGTTGTCCCGAGCGCGGCGGATCTCACGGAAAGCGGCGTATAGCAGAGCAGTAGCGGCCAGGAGCACAAGGCACGTCAAAGGGCAAACGATGATCTCAACCATCCTCAAGCTACCAGTGTAACAGTATAGAATTCCCCGAATGATGTTCAAACCAGAGGTTATAAAGCAAAAGAAAGGCGAGAACCGCAGGAGTGAGAATAGTAGGAACACAAGGTGTTACCATAAGACAAGCAAGAAGTGTCAAGGTAAAACTATTACAACTTGTCCTCTTTCTCTCTCTCTGCCTTCCGCTATGTCTTTCTCTCTGTTCCCCTTAGCCTTTCACTCTTTGTTATACACTCCCTCCCTCACTATTATTCTCCCTATGAGTTTCTCTCTCTCTAAGCCTCTCTCTCTCTCTCTCTCTCTTTCTCTTTCTCTCTCTCTCTCTCTCTCTCTCTCTCTCTCTCTCTCTCTCCCCCTTCTCTCTCTCTGTCTTTCTCTCTCTCTGCTTCTCTCTCTCTCTCTATCTCTCTCTCTGTCACACTTTCTCTCTCCCTCTTTCTCTCTCTTTCCTCTTTTTCGATACTCTCTCTCTCTCCTCTTTTTCGATACTCTCTCTCCTCTTTTTCAATACTCTCTCTCCTCTTTTTCGATACTCTCTCTCCTCTTTTTCGATACTCTCTCTCCCCCTTTCTACCGAATCTCTCTCTCTCTCTATTTCCCTCTCCGCATTTCTCTCTGACTCTTTCTCTTTCCTTCTCTCTCTATCTCTTTCTAACTGTCTCTCTCTCCCACTATCTCTTTCTTTCTTTTCCTCTCTCTCTCTCCCCCTTTGTATCTCCCTGTCTTTGTCTGGCTCTCGGTCTCCCTGTCACTCTCTGTGTCTCTGCTTATGTCGCTATGTCTCTGTCTCTCGGTTTCCCTGTCACTCTCTGTGTCTCTGCTTATGTCGCTATGTCTCTGTCTCTCTGTCTCTGTCTTGTTGTGGTTTTGTATTTGAATTCGCAAAACCAAACAGACAATAAGCCCAATAACATGGAAGCGAGTAAAAGAATGCTAAGAATGAGGCATTTTGGTGAATATTATTTCAAGTAGAAATACTGATCCCGGGAGGTACTACAAATATATGTAGGTACTGTACAATGAAAATCTGAAAAGGCCTTGGTACTGATTGATTGATTGATTGATTTTTTTTACTTCGCAAGTTCAAACGGGTTCCTGGCCCAGTTATATGAAAGCGAAGGATAGAATTTTCCAAAATCCTAATGAGCAACAGCATAAGCAATATTATCATAAAAGTGGTGAATTCGCACAGTAACCGTGCACTTCAGCTATTCTCTACTACCTCTTCTGAATTTGACTCTCCGCTGGCCTTCTCTCCTCCCATCCCCCTACATTGTATTGGGCCTCCGCAGCTTCCCCCCCCCCCACCACCACCACCCCACGCACACACTACATTGTCACATAGCACAACTCAACCATTCGCTACCCTGGTATTGAGCACTCCTGCTCGTTTGGTCTCGCGAATCCAAATAAAATCAATCAAATCAAGTGGAGTACTATGCGAGCGAGAATACTGAGAAGAAAGGAACATGTCAAAACCTGACGAAACACAAGTCTCTCTCTCTTTCAATCTCTTTCTCTCTCTTTGCCCCTCTGTATCAGAGCTCTCATTGTCCATCACGGACCGGAGACCACCTATCCCTTATCCCAATATCTAGTAGTGTCTGCTTGGGTCCTCTCGCACGCATATCTGCTAGTGCAACAAGAAAGGACTGAGGAAGCAGCTAGCGTTCCAAGTGAAGAGTTTACTTTCGTGTTGACTCAAGCTAATGACTTAGGTCCATCAGAGATCATACCAGTCACTTGTCATCATGGTCATGACTAAGGCATTCATTTGTGGCCACGAAACTGCACACTCTCAGGGTGAAAGCTGCGAGGCCAACCAGAAAAGAGTGTGTCGAGCCGTGATCAGGAAACGCTGAGCTCTACCGACAACATTGGTTAGCTAGGCGCGGCGAATTCTTGTTGATGCAAGGACCCCAGTTCACCAGTACCTCAAGGACATATCTTGGTCAACATGCACCAGCGGGTTGAGAAAAATGACCAAGGTGGCTTGGAGAACGGACGTCTTCTCCGCGTGTCTTTGCCGACATCAAACAATAAGATTTGCTTTGGCTCTAGCCTTTCGCTGTGCAGACTTGACCAGGGAGTCGTACAATACCAGTAATTTAGGACTCGACTGTACATTGTGTACATCGATCAGCATGAACTAGGGTGCGTAGCCGCTATGAATGCACAAACTCTGGTTTCGGGCGCATCGCCATATTTTCAAAATGGAGGTCGACGCTTATTGAATTTTGTATGGTCGTGGTGAGCCATGAAATTGGAAATATAACGAACAAATAACACGACTGGATACAGGTACCTCTGCACATCATACGAGAAAAATTGAACGGAATATCTTGGCCCAAACCGGAGTCAGCCGAGAAAAAACGCAAGTTACGTTTGGATCTCACTAACTGCAAAGACGCTGGGAAGATTTCTGAGATGAAGCAAGAACGCAATCGCATTTCACACCAGATTCGGCGGGAATGCCTCAAGATGGCATCGAGCAGGCTTGATGAACGAGTGGGAGAAATAGGAAGAATAAAGAATGACGCAAAGATGTTCAAAGCAACCCAGCTACTCCGTCGTCAGAAACAATCACCGGTTATCGTTGAGGATGCTGAAGGCAAAATTATATCTCAACCTGCGGAATCGGTGGGAGCGGTCAAGGAACACTTCAGAACTATATTCTGCGACCAGGCACTAGCAACAACTATGTTGGAGAGGAGTGAAATGCCACTGAACCGATCCATAACGACTGAGGAGGTGTCCAAGGCTGCAAAACGTTTAAATAACGGCACAGCATCCGGCCCCGATGGAATCCCGGCTGAGCTCCTGAAGTATGGGACGCAATCACTGCATGGTAACATAGCCACATTATTCAATAATTACGCTAAAGATCAACGCATCCAGCTTGGTGATGGTATATTGGTCCCGTTGCCGAAACCGGGCAAGAAGAGAGGTCCTCCTGCAAATTTGCGGCCAGTTACCCTTCTAAATACACTACGCAAGCTACTGTCTCTAATCGTATTGACGCGTATTAAGCCGGCAGTTGATCAATACCTCTCGCCCTGCCAGAGCGGATTTCGCAGCGGGAGAAGTACAGCGGATGCTGTGTACTCCTACAGATGGTTGGCAGCAAGATGCCAAAGAGTAAAGGAAGATATCGCCATTTTGGGAATTGATATGTCGAAAGCCTTTGACACTATTTCAAGACCAAAGCTCATGAACGTGCTGGAGACTATTGTGAACCGGGACGAATTACATCTTATTCAGTGCTTACTTACGGATACCACCATTAAAGTACGGCTAAACAACATCCTGAGCCAGCCACTTGAAACATACAATGGGACTCCACAGGGAGATTCTCTGTCACCGGTATTGTTTACGATATACCTGGAAGCTGCGTTAAGAGAGGTACGAAACCGTCTACCGCCGCGACCAGACCGAGACGTCCAGCTGCTTCTGCCCGGAGAGTCGGAATATGCAGATGATGTGGACTTCATCAGTACCGACCAAAAGTATCTAAAAGATTGCCTTCCTACAATATCCTCTTCGTTAGCAGAGTGAACTTGAAGATGAATGAGGGGAAGACGGAACACACCATGATAAGCAGACAAAAGGATCGAATAGAGGAACAGTGGCGGCACACAATAAAGCTGGGCTCGATGCTTGGAGTGGATGAGGACATAGGCAGACGAAAGCGGTTGGCTACAAGCGCACTTCACCGGATGTGGGTGATATGGCTGAGAGGGCAACACATCAGAGAGTCTCTACGAGTGCGCCTCTATAATAGCTTCATTCTACCAATCCTGCTTTATAACTGTGGCACGTGGAGTCTCACGGGGACACAGGAGCGGAAATTGGACTCGTTCCACAGGCAGCAGCTGCGAACAGTGATAGGCATTAAATACCCGCTCATAATAAAGAACACTTCCCTGTATAAACGCACAGAATCTCGCCCCGTGAGCCAAATCATCAGAGATGCTAGATGGAGGCTGTTTGGTCATGTGCTGCGTTTGGAAGAGGCAGCCCCAGCCAGACGTGCCATGGGAGCTTACTTCTTAGGGGGTAACGGCCCCAGCTTTAGGGGACGCCCAAGAACAACGCTCCCGCGAACGCTCAATAATGATCTCAAAAAGCTGAAAAAAATACCGCCCTAGAGACTGGCGATGACTTGAACATGCTGCAGCAGCTTGCCCAAGACCGTCGACAGTGGCGGGAACTGGTGAAGGCTGTATGTAGCTGCTAATGAAACAATGGACATAATTTATACCTTTATATATAGATAATGGAGATGACTGCAACAGGCTGCAGCAGCTCGCCCAGGATCGCCCTCAGTGGCAGGACCTGGTGAAGGTTGTATGTAGCCGCTAATGCAACAATGGACATAACTTTGCGTTTCCATCTTGTCTTTTTTGTGATTGTGATGCTTGATGTGCACTGTGCTTCCTCGCATTCACTTGCTCCTTCTTGCAGCTTGTCTCTTTTTTCTGTTTTTTGTTTTTTTTTTGTTTTGTTTTGACGCTCTGTGTGCATTGCGCTTCCTCGCGCTCACTTGCTCCTTCTTGCGGCTTAAGCGAAGGCTATATGTGAGCTTTATAAGCTCACTGATGCTAACGCGAATAGAGCATAATAAATAATTTAAAAAAAACCCGGAGTCATCAGGCTACAAAACGTACATCGACAGTTCCATCTTGCGCCACATTTTTTATAATGTTCGCGTTGAATCTGTTGTGTTTCTTTTCAACAAATAATGTTTGAACAACAGATGGCTCAAGTCGGTAATGATTGCTACTTCTTCTACTACTCGAGCTGCAAGAAGGGACCCGCTTGTCCATTCCGACACAGTGCACCTGCACTTGGCAAGGAAGACGTCTGTCAAGATTGGGCCAAAGGACGCTGTATTGTTCCGAATTGTGCACGTCGCCACATGGGAATTCATGTAAGTAAAGCGAGCCTGTGTGGTTGCTTTGCCTGCACACTCTGTAACCTTTTTTTCTGGTAGGGTCCAGAAACTGACCGTGGTTGGTCCCCTGGGCCATAGGGAGGGAGAAAGATCCAAGTGCGATCAGTATGTGTGGCACGTGGTGTGAGCTGCCTTTGGAGTGAAAAAATTGCCAGCGCCTTCTAGGTTCAGCCCGGTCCCATAGCTCAGTGGTTAGAGCATGGCTAATGAGAAACAAGGTCCCGGGTTGGAGTCCTGGTGGGTCTCGCGATTTGTTTCTCTTTTCAGGCAGTTAACTTCCCCAACTGATCCTTTGAATTATTATTATTCCCGTAGCTATGCAGAAGACGTTACTTCAGTAACGTCTGGCGCTAGCCAGGGTCCACACAGCTTTAATTTGGTGTTTGTTTGTTTGTTTGTTTGTTTGTTTGTGTCACGGCTGGAGCTATCCCGTATCTGTCCCGTGTCTGTCCCGTATCTGTGACTACAAAGGCTCTACAGGATTGTACATAACAGCTGTCCACAATATTTGCGGGCTCCTGTATCTGTCCCGTACCGTACCAATATTCGTTGTATTATGTATACGACTCCCTGATGTAGAGGGAGATTTGGAAAGAAATAGGGAGACAAGGAGGAAATTAAATTAGAATAGACGCCGAATAGGTGATAGGATGCGTCAGCATAAACATACTTTGGAAGAGAGATCCCGTCGTCTCCAAAATAAGCGTGAACGAGCGATTCAGCACAGGTCACAGGAAACGTCGGAAGAGAGATCCCGTCCACTCAAGAACGCCCGTGATCGGCAGAGTCCGTCGGTCCCAGGCAACGTCAGGACAGACATCCCGTTGAATCCAGAACGCCCGTGATCGGCAGAGTCAGCGCCGGTCCCAGTAAACGTCAGGACAGACATCCCGCCGACGTGCCGAAAAACTAAATCTGCACCCTCTTTTGCCGTCGGACAGGATACGTATTATAGGAGACTGTAAAGTTATGTAATGTCCAAATATAATAATCATCTTTATTTCAGGATTACCCAAAGGCTAACGCCTATCTGGGGGATCTCCTATTTGTGAATGTACTAGTAACATAGTTAAGGATGCGAGAGAAAGTGCGCAAAGTGAGTGTGAAGTGTTGGTTTCAAAAAGGAATAATAAGAAACACAAGGAAAGAAAGTAAGACAGAAAAGAAAAGAAACAAATTTCGACGTGAGCAGCAGGTCACTCGCATTGATTTTTCGACGTGCGAGCCAAATAACGCGAGCTGAACTTTCGCGTCGCAGACATCCCGTCGACGCGCAGAAAAACTAAATCTGCAGCCTCTTTTGCCGTCGGACAGGATACGTATTATAGGAGGCTGTAAAGTTATGTAATGTGCTCCACAGGCAACCAAGCATTCGGCGAAGTCATTGGCTCAACAGGTCAATGTACATGTATTACTACAAAAAGGCCAGAAAATCCGAATACTGTATTAAAATCAACTAATTTTCGCTGGCGATTTAATTTCGCTGATTTCGCAGCTTGGTACCAACCGGCCAAAGTAAATCGCAGGCCAAAGTTTGTCATATAGGCAAATGATGCATGATTGAGCAATGGATGCATGAGAGAGCAAAAATACCGATCGGTTTCAAATTTGACGTGAAATTGCGCGTCACGTCGGAAATAACGTGCATCTTAACCTCTCTAATAGAGAGGTTTCTATTTCTCATCGGCCAAAATTTGTTGATTTACAGTATAAGGAGATAAAAAGAAAAGAAGGAACAAACCAAAAGTAGATGATTATTAGAGAAATAACAATCCGCAATAAATTCTGCAAATACTTTTGCCTAACTCATAATATTGAAACCGATTGAAACGTTTTTGCAATACAGTGATGTGGCCAATCAACGGAAAAAGACATTTCCATCAGTTGTTATAACATGTACGATGAGCTAGGCAAAAAGGCATAAAAGCATAGCGTATGGCCCTGAGCTTCCAAGCTCTCTCGTTATTATTTGAAACTCGGATGTTGAGCCATAAATGAAATGTAGAAAGGAAAAGGACATTATGAATACGAGTTAAGAGTAACTCTTCATCACTGTAACTGGATACTATAATACAGTCAGAAAGTGCAATATCTAGGCACAAAACTGACAAGAGTACTGAGACATTCGACGTCCTGACACCTAGCTTCAACACATCTCAGTAGCGCTAACCCACAGCCTTCCAACTTGGAAGGTTCAAGGTTATGAAAAGACCAAAGAGGGGAAGGCAAGCGCAACGAAAACGACCAAAAGCCACAGTCCCAACGGAACAAAGAATGTCGATTGTTCCTGGACGATGACGAGACCAGTACGATATTTAACAAAGCGGTCTAACTACAATTCAAAGCAGCAAAGCAGCACACCAACCTACTTGGGTGGGGCATAAATATCGAAGATACGTAAAGAAACGGGAAGCTTTGCGAAAACGAATTGTACAAGTCGAAAGCCAAACTCCTACAGTACTCCTCCTGCATGATATTGTGATGGACTAGTTGACTACAAAACAAGTTGTTTCACACGACGTTCCAATATTCAAACAATCAGCTGATTTTTCAGCCGAATCTGATGTATTTTCGAGCCGAGGGAAAAGCTGACCAGGCGGTGAAACGCGCTGATTTGAGAAAAGCCTAGTGCACGGTGATGCATGCTGAGTTTCTTTGTTTTCAATGTGGTCTTGGTGACTGTGTTGCAGAAAGACCGTGGCAGCATGCCATGCTACTGGGAGTCTCAGCGAGTGGGGTGTACCAAGCCGTTCTGCCCATTCAAGCATTTGAAGCCCCGTCCTGATGCACCTCTGCAAACTGGCCAAGTACAACCCACTACGACTGCACCCCAAGGAAATCCAGTCAAAGGTAAGAATTTGCTCTTTGCTGTAAGACTGCACTTAGCCCTTTTGCCAATGATGGCGTGTGTATGAGGTGCTTTTTTAAGTATATAGAAATCTGCACGGCAAAATGGCTGCTACACTGCTGTTAGTTGTATGAAGCAAGAAGGCCCATTTCACCTGAAAAATTAGGATAATCAAACAAACATGTTACACGTCCTTCGTACGGAAAGGGCTGCGGGAGTTGCGTATTACCGGTTACTTGCGTACTCTTGCTCGTGGTTAGCGCAATGTTGCTGGATGTGGTGTATCCACACTGCTTGCCAAGCATCAAGACAATCCATCAAAGGCATCATTGATGCTAACCCTTACTGTCCTATCTACTCTTCAGGTGGACCAGCGCAGGTGCTTCCACCTGATTTCAAGTTGCTGATAAATCTACCTGATGACAGCAGTGCACAGCGCAGCGCTACCATCCGGACCATTGGCAATTCTCAAGAAAGACTGCGACACGCCCGAACACAAGGGGTTGCCACCGACTCAACTGCCGCTCACTCCAGAATGGATATGAGAAGAGCAACTCGAGCAAGGAGCCGATACCATTGGGTTCATGCTCGCGATCAGCTAAATCAACAGCATAGATCTGAAACTGCAAGGCGTGGTCCAGGTCCGTTGTTACCCACGAAAAGGACAGCATCTGTTCAGCAAGAAGTCCAAACAAAGCCGTTAGCCAAACGACGCAGGCCTGAGGTACTGTATCCGAGTACATCCATTGGTATATCAATGAATGAGTTGTGTGTGCGCTCGTGTGTGTGCGTGTGTGTGTGTTTATGTGTGTGTGTGTGTGATTGTGTGTGTATGTGTGTGTGTGTGTGTGTGTGTGTGATTGTATGTGTATGTGTGTATGTGTATGTGTGTGTGTATGTGTGTGTGCGTGTGTGTGTGTATGTGTGTGTGTGTGATTGTGTGTGTATGTGTGTGTGTGTGCGTGTGTGTGTATGTGTGTGCATGTGTATGTTTGTGCCTGAGGTGGGGTATTCACCGACAGGAGACTTGGTCGGATAGTTACGATGCCGACACTCTCCTCGTCGCCCCCACCTCGGAGTCCTTCGCGAGGCTTTGCAAGCCCACAAGTGGAGCAAACTACCGCACGAAGACGACGACGTGGAACGACTCTGAGCGTTGGCTCATGGAATGTTCGCTCTGTTGTGGAGAGTGATGGACCAGTTCTAGCGGCAGCCGTGAGAGGAATCGTTTCCGATGATAAGCCAGATCCATAGCTGCTGGAGATGGCTCTCTCGAACATGGTCCCGCTCGTCGTTCTATATTGTCGGCCGCGTAAGGGGACACGTGACCGTAATGGCAGTGTTTACCAGGACCAGGTGTATGTTTATGTGTGTGTGCGTGTGTTTGTATGTGTGTGTGTGTATGTGTGTGTGTGTATGTGTGTGTGTGTATGTATGTGTGTATGTGTATGTGTGTGTTTGTATGTGTGTGTGTATGTGTGTGCGACAGGGTGTAACTGTGTGTGATGTGTGTCTGTCTGTGTCTGTCTGGCTGTCTGTAACTGTCAGCGCATGCACGCACCAATATGCTTGCTTCTTCAAAGTTATAGTGGCATTGCTTTCATTTACGAAAAGGAAATTTGTCATTTTTGCCGACATAAATCTAGAGCACAACTTTCTAATCCTTTCTTTCTGAAGGACACATGCAAGGATATGTATGTCCTGGTGCTGTCCTGGTGCTGAAAGTTGACAGATTCATATGCCATTCTTTTTGTTGACGACTTTGGCGGTGTCCTTTGTGGATCCCCACCGTTTCACCCGTTACCCTTTAGTTGCAGAACTTCAACCTCACTGGCGGTTACTTTGCAATATTTTATTTTGCGTTCTTGAGTTCCTGGGTAAACGTGTGTGCATCTCTTCATCTCGATGTGTGGCTGATTTGGGGGCTTATTGGACCTCAAAATGACGTCAAGTTGTTTTCCTTCTCGCCGGTGGTATGTAGCTCTGTAACTATTGCAGTACCACCAATGCTAATGACAACAGCAGTGCACAACATTAGAAGACCAAACTTTGCACCAAATTTGAAAGTGAAGCTTAAATGTGCACCACTATTTGTGCAAGGCTTGCTTTCTTCATTTTTTTGTTGTGGAGCTGTTCCGCAAAGGTGCCATCCGCTCTTTGCGCCAGTTATGTGTCATAACAACTAACAACTTTATTCATTGCTTTAACCCTAGAACAGCCAACGGTGTCATTTGACACCGCGCGAGTCAAACTTTTGGAATTACCGAAATATGGCTTATCAGAATAAGCTCAAATCTTGTGACTATTCCTAATTTTTCTTCCTCTTTCGTCTGCCATAAACATTTGATTTGTAATTGATGAGGTACCATAATGGCGAGTACGTATGCCTAGAACGGCCAACCAGTGTCATTTGACACCTGCACTATATAATGCCATTATTGCAGCTAGATGGAAACAATATGAACACATTTCGAAGGTGTCGGCCATATCGAGTTGCTCGTATGCCAACCAGACAACAGAAAGGTGCACGGGCAGGAACATCGCTGAATACAGGACGAAATATATAATCACCATACAACCGTCGCGCGAGAATCGCGAATTTGGGGCGTGTAACCATTAGTGCACAGATTACACAAACACTCTTCAGCTAATGTCCTTGATACTGCTCATTCCCTTTCATTTTCCTGTAAATTGCCCCAGAGGAGCCATCGCGGTCTGACGGCCAAGGAAATACTGGAACGGATGTAGCCTATTACCATGCATGAATCTGATGACCATGAAAGCGAAATTGCCCATTTTACCTTCATTTGATGGGTGTTCAAGTGTGGTGACCATTGGCAGTGGTGGATCTGTTCTGTCATATGAAGGCGAATCGTACGGTCACAACACCTGAGTACCACCTGTGGATTCAGAATGTGTTGAGGTTTACGAGCCTCCAGAGAGCGGACGAGGATTGCGGGATAGTCCAGACAAGGAATTGTCAGAAACAGTTGCAGGAGTGGTGGAGACGCCGAAATGGATAGTGTTGAGGAAGAGGAATCGCAACTCTGCAACCTGGAGATGGTACACCGCATTATCGCAAGGATGGTGCTGTGTAGATAATCCTTTCTAACTACTTGACGAGATAATAGGGCTCTTGAACCAAACCTTTTCCTCCTCCGCTTCAGGCTAAACGGGTAGGCAGCCACTGGGATGCCTCCTCTCTCTTTATTGGCGCCGGATGCTGCAGAAGGTGACTGCTAAGTCATAACTGATAACTTCATCATCAGTGCATTACTGGTCAAGAAACTGTTGGAGAATAAAGAGTTGCAGTATGAACCACTTTGGGAAATTGAAGTGAACTACCATCTAACTTCATTGCCAATAATCGCGGATTGCATTTTGTTTTTCAAGATTACATTGTAGGTAGCAAAGATGGTAGACATAGAAGGTAGAAGTAGCAAGAATTATCAATGGTCCGCCTAGTGTAGACCACCTAGAGCCATATGTTTTACATGGTGAGAGTAGGAAGCCCCACATCGTCCAATTCTAGCAAAAGACGAGATATGTCCTTGACCGTTTTGATGGAATGTGGTGGATCTACTCAACAAAGACTATTCCAGAAGATGTCCTCCTGCAAGGTGGCTACATAAATGAATAGATGTGACAGGAATCAACGCCTTCACAATATCCCAGACCTTTGCTAGTTCATGCACATCAAGAAAACGCTCATTCCTGCACTGGTCAATAAGCTTGTAGATAGTTATGGCATCTGGTTGCTAAGTGCCAGCCAAGGAGAAGAGAAGGGTATACCTCTTTGAAAGAGTCTTAAATGCAATCGTTACTAGCCTAAACCATCTCTAGCAGCATATGTGTCAGCTTGGTGAAAAAATGATCCTCATAGTCAGTCCATGTTTGTACTTGTTACTGTGTGTCATTCATCGTGACGGTCGAGTAATCCGATTATGCCAAAGCACATATTCCCGAAAAACAGTTCTTCATGTGCCCAGTGACGTTGACACATTGCTTTTTATGGTAACTCTGTGATTATAAGAAATTCCTACGCAACTATTTTAAGTTTTGCCAGTAATTGAGTTCATCCTTCGCAATTGCCGTTACGCGTACATTGTATTTTAGTTGCGTATAGCCAACAATAGTGTCTGGGTGAATCCTAAATTGTTGTATACATCATAAATGCCGATAGTGATAGCCAGCACTGAAAACAAAAAACTATAATAACCTATATCATAGGTCTTAGACATGGAAATGTGTGCAGGTGTCAAATGACACCGTTTGGCCGTTCTAGGAGTACTGAAAGTGGTGACCGTCCTAGGGTTAAAGTGCTTCGTAACATGTGTAATGTCCTGCAGCTGGTTTACATGTTGCACTGTCTTATATCATCAGCCGATGCAAGGCCTCTCAGATGTTTTAAGTTTCTCTTTTCCTCTCTCTCTCAATCTCTTTTTCTCTCTCTCTTTCTGTCTCCATTGTTCTGACTGCTTCATAGCCTGTTGCTGTTCCAACGTCCCCACAGCCGTCCACCGCTGCTGGTCTTCGCATCAAGTCTTTAGATGAAATCCTTGCTGAGAAACGCAAGCATCACGAGACCATTTGTGACAGCACTGTATCTGCAGAAGACACCTGTCAAAGAAGACCGGCCGATTCAACCCGAAAGGAATCACCATCAGTAGTTTCCAGTTCAGCAAGCAAGAATGTATGCAGTCCAGTACTGAATACTGTACCTACCAAGAGTTCCACTCCAGCGACACCACCTGCTAAGATAACAAGACTCAGCAGTCATTATTCTGGTAAGTTGCATTGCTGATGCTGGTATTAGAAATGTTCTTGAAGACATTACTTTCGATCTGTTGTCCTTTCCTGTGCCTTTTCTTAAGCGATACCTTTCTCTTGTTGTTTATTTGTGTGGCACGGCTTGGCATTTACTGTTTGGTCTTTGGGATATCTGCTTAACCTCTCGTTACATGTGGATAGTGAGTTCTGCTTCCTTCTCGTGTGGAAAGACCATTTGCTTCAACACGGCTGTAGTGTGCTACAATACAGTTTAAGGGCTTTGCAAATAGTTAACGCTATTCCTGACGTAGGGGTTGGTAGTAGGTGATCTTGCGTGTGTGATGTGTATGTTCCAGCAGTCTATGGCTAATGGGATGCTATAATCTGGCTTGATCCGTTGTAAATATATTAATAAAAGGCGCTTGCTTCTTCATCTGTACTTTTCAGCTAAGAAGGAAAGCCCAGCCACTAAGAAGGTGTCCCAAAGTGAAGGAAGTGAAGTTACTTCCACTGCTGATACTACTACAGTGGATATCGGTTATAAAGTCATCGGACATAGTGATAAACCGGCTATATTGATACAAAATGAAAATATCAAAAGCAAAACCAGAAAAAGCCAGTCAAATTATCATTATAACCAATGTATCGTATATAGCGATAAATCGGCTATAAGGATACAGAATCACCATTCAAAACACCTCTTTGTGCAGAAAAATTATCGTCTATAGTGATAGCAACACACGAGTGTGAGGCATTGATGTCTCGATTTGGAGCCACATGTGTGTTTTCATAGGGTATTCTGGTCTGGTGCTTCCTGGATGATGCCTTTGGGCCAAGAAGTTCTTCACTCTAGACTGGAGAAGGTGCTGTAGCATCCATCACGTATCAGTACGCTACATTAGCGCGATCGAGTACCCACATGTGTATAATGTGTATGTATGACGCGCGCAGTTGAAAATCGCCTGTAGTGATATACCGGTTATAGTGATAAAATGTGAAAAATCAGAAGGGCACGTTATAACCAATATTTACTGTACTATGAAGTCTGATGCCAAGTCTGAATTTGATTGGTAAGTGCTTGTTACGGGCTAATACTCATCACACTGTGCCTTACATGCCATGCGTTAATGTGTCCGAGTTTTCACACTGCACATTTCTGGATTCATGGCGCGAATCGAATTTGCATGGATGCAGCGGATTGAATTTTCCGTATTTTATAGGCAACTGCATGGTAGGTCTGAACTACTCATCTCCGACCGCTTTAGAAGCTGCATCTGCACTTTGATCCTCCAGGGTGATTGAGTTCCTATGGGTGTGAAAATTTCAGTCTACCCGAGTCCCATGCTAGACGTAATATTTCTTTTAATATTCCGTCATTTTTGGGATTTAATTATAAACATGAGTGGTGCAGTTATTACTACTGCAGTTACAACATTGTAGTTTGAGTATATCACATCCAAGACATTCCCATAGCAGTATCTGAATGTCCCTTCGTATTGTCTTACCGGCTGTAGATAACTTCTTATTCTTTTGACTGTTCTAGGCTCGATGACATCGACCTGCTTGATGACGATGCATTTGAGAAAGCGATGAGAGACGTAACCTACGTCAACTTGAATAAGCCAGACCTTGACGAAACAGTCAACAGCGACGATCTACTCCTGGAAGCGGAGCAGATGATTTAGACTAAGATAAATTCTGTGTATTGTCAGAGTGCACAGTGTGCTCCTCATTTGCCATGCCTACATCATGCCTAATCGCCATTGGGGATATACACCCGGTTTTTTCCCTCTCTACTGCGTCCGTCGGCGCGAGGGTTTTTTCCCGGCTGGCTCGGTCCCGGAAAATTAACCTGACGGCCCCAAGTGGTTTTGCATGATGCCCTATTTCAGCTATCCGCTGGCACACGTATTTGGGCATCTTCGGCTAATGCTTGATTATATTACTAATAATGCTTTGAGCGCTGCTTGATATATCAGCATATAATGCTAATTTGAATGCTCGCTTTTCACTTTCTCGTTGGCTGTGTTGTGCAGAATCATGTGCCAACCTTCACTACATGTATATTGCATTGTCATTTCGTTTAGTACAATGCAAACATGAAATTATGGTCATATTTTCGACAACGCTGCTCAAACTTGATATGAATCAACTCACCTACTCCGAAGCCACATTCTGCCAGGCTGCAATGCGTTCTGGGACAGCCCGGAAGTTGAAGTTGCTTTAGGATGCTAAGGAACGTTGAGTTCCCAGCTCCCAGACAGCAGAATACCAAATTGGAATGAGTATAGCTCAGGCAAAGAACTGAGGGTAGAGAGTAATCAGTATTGCTAGATCAATAAGATACAGTCATGCTTACCAATATTACCCTCGATCGCTATTGACTCGTGGGCTGCATGCGTAGGCCTAATGAGAACGGAATACAGTAAAACCTGTCAAGGCGACCACCTGTTCTAGAAGAACACTGCAATCAGGACCCAGGGGCGATATGTCCAGTTGTTTGACCCTGGATAAGGCGACCACCTGGTTTGTTTGTTTCTTTCTTTTCTTTGAATTCGTTTAGAGCACAGGCAATTCTGCCTTCTCACCAGAGGAAAAACCTCCGGTTTCTGCTAAGAACGAATATAATATTATGAGAGGAGGAAATATTATAAAGAATCATAACATGATAATTCCAAAGCACAACGTTTGTATATAATTCAAATGGGTGTGTGTATGTGTAAGCATGCAGTGAAGAAAACACCGAGAAAACATGCAGTAATGTGTAGGGATGCCGAGCAAGGTGGTTACAAATTACAATTAATTCTGTTCAGAGCCAGTTTAAAGGCAACCGCCGCACTGTGGAGGCGAATACCTGGTGACAGAGACCACATATTGAAGGTCCCTTGACCGGTCGTGATAGACAGGTTTCACTGAGTAAATCCTGGCAAGCTGACCAACTGTTCTAGAAGACCACTGCAACCAGGACCAATGGGTGCTATTTCCAGTCAATTGACCCTGGATAAGGCGACCACCTGGTGACAGATACCACATTTTGAAGTTCCCTTATGCGGTCGTGTTAGACAGGTTTCACTGCTAGGCATCGGAGGCTAATGCTAGCATTATAAGCAGAATTTTATGCTTGTTTTAGCACTGCCCAGCATTAAAGCGGAATAATTGCAGCAAACTGGCATTATGGGTGCTTTTGATGCCAATTACTGAACTAACAGACTAGCGAAATCTGGTCCCAGGTGCAGTCCACAACCGGCTGAGGCGTGGTGTCTCCAGCGTCATCTGAATCATGGTCCACATATATTCCCCTCTATCTAACTATATCCAGCACTCCTACAATCTACATCCTTGAAGTACCTGTATGTACCCGTAGTTCAACATGGCATGCTTATCCAATAGGCGAAAATCTCGTAACTGGCAATGATGCCTGTGACTGTGTTTTTTTGCCGGTCAAAATGCTACATTATTGTTGCAAGCTAGTCAGTCGAATTCTGACTTTGGGGCTCATAATATGGCCGAATTTGGACATTTTCTTAGCCAATCGAAAAGCCGATTAGGCGAAAACATCGGAGGGCCCAGTCCTCAGTACATGGTGGATGGCTACACAATGCTCTGCTGCCGATTCTTGTTGATAAACTAAATCCATTTTCACTTCCAGGTAACAATGCACAAAAGTCCCATCATCATCATCATCATCATCGGAAATGGCCTCTTGTACGGGCTAGAAACGGTGATAACCGAGATTATGTGCAAAAGTCGTGATAGATATTCAGGTAAAAATATGACATTTAACAGTTGAATGATTATTTCCAAGTAGATATTCGAATGCTGATTATTTTACATGGTAGAAATTGAATGACAGATGATGTTACTTTACCAAATAGTTATTTAAAAAAGGTGATGTTATCCATAGTGAAATTGTTGAGAGGCATAGCATAAAAATTCACTACGCGGCCAAACGATACTGGGCCACAAAGGAATTCACCCGCCATCTGTTATAAGACCCTCGGCAACCACGAAAGCACGTAATGGCCCACCTCAAGAGGCAAAACGACAGGCGGGTACGCAACATACCCATGACAACAGGATATTTGAGATCCTGGCTTCTCTCTACAAAGAGAGAGAGGCAAGAGACTTTAGGAATTGAGTTGTTTCAGGCCCGCTGAAACCATAAGTCGAGAACACCAGTGGGGTGAACGATCCTCGCTCGACATTCAAAACGCGGCTGGCATATTGATTCTTTTTCGCCCGTTCATGGGACTTCAGCTGACTCAAGGCTTTTGATCGAGAAAACACGGACGCTGCGGGATGGGTAATCCGCACATCAAAACAAGCGTCTTGTTGCCACGACCAAAAGCCCCGAGCCCGCACGTGAAGACGAGCCTCAGTACTTCTGTTGAGCGAACGCCCTCCTGGTAGATCCTCATCACCGCACGGCAATAATCTAGGCTCGGTCTCGACGTCAACAACACCTGCCTCTCTCAGGAGACCGGCGACAAGGTCTCTCACCTCGTTGTGCCTGGCGATTGTGTACCCACCAGTAGCGCAAGTGAGGGCGTGTGCGGGACTGAGATCCAGTCCACACACACATTTCTCCGGCAGTCCACTCAATCTGTGACCATACCGGATGCATAGAGCGTCCCGGAAATCTGATTTCTTTAAAATTGTTCCATGCTGCCAGCGGGGAGCCACCGTCAGCCACGATGATAGACCCTTCTCATTTGCGACTTCTACCAAAAACTGCTGCTCGGCAGTCAAGCATGGCTTGATATCGGCTTGGCGACGACACACATCCCCGATCCTGGCCACACGCGTTGTTCTTGCAATGTGCTGTGCATCGCCCAATGGCTCACGAACCGGATCATCTGTCAAGATTAATTGATCCTCCTCCTCATCATCATCATCATCATCATCATCATCATCATCATCATTTATTTTTTATTTTTTTGATCCCACCTTCCAACCCGGCAAATATTTTGATTTTGATAAAAACGATTCAAAGCCTCTCAATTATTTAGTAATACTTGATGTATATATAAGAATAATAACAATAGTTACACTTTCACACCAAACTAGCTCGGCACAGCACCAATCACTGCAGGGGAACCCGACCCTCCACCATCGCCAACTCACGAAGCATGTGAACTGGACGATGACGGGCCGACCGAGCACCCCTGACACACAACACAGCGGAACGTAGCAGCGCGAAAGACACCCGACAACGATAAGAACTCATCATCATCATCATCATCATCATCATCATCATCATCATATGACCAAGCCGCTTTTACGGGCAACAATATTATGAATATAAAACGCAAGGTATTGTAAGAGCAGTTTTCTGAAAATTATGTTAAAACACGAAATATAAAAATCATCATCATCATCATCATCCTCATGTGACCAAGCCGCTTTTACGGGCAACAATATTATGAATATAAAACGCAAGGTATTGTAAGAGCAATTCTCCGAAAATAATGTCAAAACACGAAATATAAAAATGCATTATCACACCGCAGCCACTTTTATGGGCAAATTCCAATACAAGGCAATAAGAAAACGAGGATGAAGTTAACCTTTTAACCCAAAGAAAAGACAAAAGATGTCAACAATAGAACTACAAAAATAAAAAACAAACTTCAGGTCGTAAAAACTACTTTAAAACATAACCAAATGACAGCAAAGCGTGGAGATTGAGATTGACTTACAAAACAAAAGTAGTCCTACTATGCTTACAAAACAGAATCTACCTACATCACTAAGGAAGAAACATTAAATGATCGCAGTCTCACAAACACCGGCCTCTATCTAACGACCCATCAAACAATAACTCCTGAAATTCTTGACTGACTTTTTCTGGTAGGAGCTACGGCAGCCACGAAAACAAGTCACTGCCCAACGGAGTAAAGTGAACGAGAGCAGGCACCGCAGTCGACCCATAACCAGCGAGTAGGCCAAGTCACTGTGTTTATCGACATACTGGGCTGCAAGACACTTGAGAAAGCGGTCTGCCTCCCGGCCACACATGCCATTCGTGGCGAAAACCAACGGGGTGAACGTGCCTCGGTCTATATTCACAACACGCGCTCCGTATTCCCGCTTTTTCATGCCTTCATGCTTTTGGAGACGGCGCTGGACTTCTGGACGCGACAGCAGGTTTGGCTTTGGGTGAGTCACCCGAACATCAAAAAAACATCATCATCATCATCATCATGCGTGCTGCTGTGTTGTGCATACGTGGGGCTCGGTCACGGTACCACCATCCGGCGAGATGTTTTCATGATGTCTCGATTGCCGTGGCCGAGTCAGGTCTAGTTTGTTAAGTATCGTGCTGTGTCCTGACTGTGCATGCGGGATTGGTATGGCGCTTACCCTTTTGTTGCTGTTTTGTTGCTTTCATGCCTTTAAGCACGTAATGGTGTTCATTTGTTGTATTTCATTGAAAAACGATCTTTGCGTTGGATTCATTTAAACTATTATTTGTGTAGGGTTCCACTCCTTCATCTTGGGAAATTGTGTTTTGTTTGCCCAAAGAAGTGGCTTCATCACCATCAAAAAAAAAAAAAAATCATCATCATCATCATCATCATCATCATCATCATCATCATCATCATCATCATGGGAAACGGCCTCTTGTACGGGCTTGAAACGGTGATAACCGAGATTATGTGCAAAAGTCGTGATAGATATTCAGGTAAAACTATGACATTTAACAGTTGAATGATTAGTACCAAGTAGATATTCAAATGCTGATTATTTTACCAGATAGATATTGAATGACAGATGATGTTACTTTACCAAATAGTTATTTAAAAAATGTGATGTTATCCATAGTGATATTGTTGAGAGGCATAGCATAAAAATTCACTATGCGGCCAAACGACACTGGGCCACAAAGGAATTCACCCGCCGTCTGTTATAAGACCCTCGGCAACCACGAAAGCACGTAATGGCCCACCTCAAGAGGCAAAACGACAGGCGGGTACGCAACATACCCATGACAACAGGATATTTGAGATCCTGGCTTCTCTCTACAAAGAGAGAGGCAAGAGACTTTAGG